TCTGCCCTCTCTCTCTGCTGCACTTCCTGTTGTCGTAACCACACCAGATCGGCCCGAGTCCGCCGAGTGAGTCCTCTCTCTGAGGGCAGTCAAGTCTATTTCTAGCAGGACGAATTCTCTCCATCACTCTCTCGGCTCCTGGACCTCTGTGTTCCACTTGCTACAGACTTGCCTTTCATCCCTCCCCACCCCCTTCTGCTAGCTGCTCCGCTCCCTGCCCCTCCCTTCAGCTTCTGCAGTTGTCACTAACACAGTTAGCCACTTGATTAGTGGCTCAGTGACTCAGGCCCCAAGAACCTTGGTTCTGAAACAGTCCTGCCTCTCTCCCTGGAGTCAAGATCAGGACCACCCCGCCCCCATATCTCAGTGCCAAGAGGCAGGGGTGGGGGAGGGCGGGGGGAGCGGACTTGACCACTCAAGATAGACGTGCCATTGCTCTGACTTCTGCCCCTTTTCCTCTGCCTGTCCCTTGGTCCTGTGTGCTCTACTAAGATTTTCCCTAGAAAAGCTGGACACAGAAGGTCTGTGCTTGGCATTTGAAAAAGATTTTAGTTTATTTATCTTCATTTTATTATTTGAAAGGCAGAGAGATAGGGACAGACACAAAAATAGATTTTTCCATCTGCTGGTTCACTCCCCAAATGCCTGAACAGCCAGCGGGAACTCCAGCCAGGTCTCCCTCGTGGTGATGGGAAGTCAATTACTTGAGCCAATCAATCACCTGCTGCTTCCAAGGATGCCCACTAACAGAAAGCCGGCTCAGAAGTGGAGTGGTGGGGGCCAGCGCTATGGCCTAGTGGGTGGAGCTACCAGCTGCAGTTCTGGCATCCCGTGTGGGTGCTGGTTCAAGTCCTGGCTGCTCCACTTCCAATCCAGCTCTCTGCTATGGCCTGGGAAAGCAGTAGAAGATGGCCCAGGTCCTTGGGTCCTTGCATCCACGTGGGAGACCTGGAAAAGGCTCCTGGCTTCTGGCTTCGGATCGGTGTAGCTCTGGCCATTGTGGCCAGTTGGGGAGTGAACCAGCAGATGGAGGACCTCTCTCTCTGCCTCTCCTCTCTCTGAGTAACTCTGACTTTCAAATAAGTAAATAAATGTTTTTTTAAAAAAAAAAATAAGAAGAAGAGGAGTGGCCAGGATTCGAACCAGGTGCTCTGCAAGGGGATGTGGGTATCTAGAGTGGCAATTTAACCACCATGCCAAATGCCTGCCCCTGAGCTTAGAATTTGCGTAGCCCAATCACCTCATTCACAGATGAGAAAACTAAGTCTCAGAGAGCGTCACTGCCCACTTGCTTGGCTAGCTCTTGGCAGAACCAAAACAGATGAAGTGAAAATTCAATCAAACGGTCAGATTTGATGGGTAAAAGTCTTACAAAGGAATGAGCAGTGCCACAATGAGACATAAAGGCTATGTAAGAGTTCCTTCCCTCATTCTCTCCCCCTCTCTCCTTCTAGAAGCAGAGAGACAAAAAGAGAACCCCCATGTGGAACTCAATCCAGATCTCCCAGGTGGATAGCAGGAACCCAATTACTCAAGTCATCACTGCTACCCCCCCAGACTCCATGAGAAGGGAAGCTAGGGTCGGGACCCAGGGCCAGGAATCACACACAGGCATTCCAGTGTGGGACATGGGTGTCTAAATTGCTCAGACAAACCCCCACGCCCTATCATAGTCTTCTTACCTACCCTATAGGCAAGTGGAGCCTGAAGAGCACCCATAACCCACCCGTGCACCTGGGGACTCCCTGATAAGACTCCCTAAAGCTGTGTCTTAGAGGTTTCTGTCTCCCAGGAACAAGGAAAGTGGGAAGACGGCTCGGGTCCAGAGCCCCTACAGCAGCACAGAACTAGCAGTGAGTAACAACCAACACGAGTGAATTCTCACAAGTTCTACACGCTCGGCTTTGCACAGTCATTCAGCATGCACTGCGGAGGAATGACAGAACTGTTTCCCTTAAATATAGGAAGGTGCACAAATTACAAGAAACTTGGGAAAGTATATTTATTGCAGAAATTATATTCATCTTGTAAATAAGCACTAGCTTTCTCTGGAGAAACACATGGGTAGCAAAAAGAACAAAACTCACCCAGTATTTTGACTTGCTGACTTGTTGCAGTGGAAGTGGGACTCCTGGTTCCCAACCAGAGCATATATCCTTGGATACAATGGAGGCTGGACCAGAGGTGCTTAGAAAAATCATTCTTCTGGGCTGGCGTTGTGGAGCAGTGGGTTAAGCCACTGCCTGTGATGCCAGCATTCCATATAGGCACCGGCTCAAGTCCCAGCTGCTCTATCCACTTCCTGAGGCAGAAGACGGTCCAAGTATTTGGGCCCCTGCACCCATGTGGGAGACCCAGCCAGGGTTCCAGGCTCCTGGAGCGAACCAGCGATGGAAGAACTCTCACTGTCTCTCCCTCCCTCTCTTTCTGCAACGCTGTCTTTCAAATAAACAAATAAGTCTTTGAAAAAGAAGATGATGAAGAAGAAAAGTGGCTCCTCAGTGTGAGCAGGGGAACAAGTCCTGTGCCAGGGCCGGGACATGGCTGTCCTGTGCGGTGCTACTCCTCCCCGCCAGGCCTTGACTGGCACACGCAGATCTGCTGTGTTAGAAGCTGAGGAGCCACGTGGCCGCCGCTCGCACTGCTGCTGTGATTCAGAGCTGTATTGATTTTCTAGCCCATGACCACATCGGTGGAGACAGAGTACGACAGGGGGAGCTGGTGGGAAGCCAAGTGCAAAGTGGGTTTATGAAACGAGCTCTCAATGAAGAAAACCGTGGGAAAGAATGTGATGGCGTCGACAGACCGGGGGCCAGTCCGTGCGGGAAAGCAGAGCACCTCCAAGTCGCTCTTCGGACTTGGGCAGAAACAAAGTGCTTTGCCAAATCACGGGAAGTCGATGCTGTCCGTAAGAGAGACTCGGCAGTTTCCTTCAGAGCCCTCCTAACCTGCAGATCGGCCCCCGTACCAGGCTCTGTATTGGGTACTGGGGAAATAAATGAGAATCTGTCCGTCTAGAGAAGGACTCTTAGAAGATCCACAAAACGGCTTGTTAACACACAAGTGTAGCTTAAGGGAGCCATGAAACACCTTGCTTAAACTTTGGGCTCAGAGCCAGGAGGAATGGATGGTGGGGGAGAGATGGGCTGGGGTCCCAGCTGCTCCCTGCCTCACATGCAGACCTGGTGAAGGTTCCCCATGTAGCTATCGCTCCCAGCACCGCTGACTCTGCCAGGAAGACCCTGGCTGCCCCCGCCCCGGCCCCCAACAGGTCGACAGGAAGCTGGCTTCAGCAATGGGGCTGTGTGCAGCGTTCCAGGTGTTCTCGAAGCAGTGGGTGGGAAGGGAGCACTTGACAGATTGGGTGGTGCAGTAGTGGCTGAGAAAACCTCACAGCACCCAAGGGACAGCTGGCCATCCTCCTCTGAGCCTAAAGATAGGGGCAGGACACTTGTGACATATTTTCCACCCCCTACCCCACGCACCTGCTCACCCACCAGGAACCGGTGTGTTTTGACAAAAGATTTGTGCCAACCACCCTCCCCGCCCCATCTCACCTCCTGTAAGGAAAGGAAAAAATATAAATTATTGCTGCTTCCTTCAGCTTTCAGTGTCTTTTTTTTTTTTTTAGGCCCTTGAAAATAAACTGGAAACTGAGGGGGAAATGGGTATCCGGTGTGTTTTGTTGCATCAGTAGAATACATAACAGAAGTCATAATATGTGGAAAAGGAAAATAAGAAAAAAAATAATAATTTAAAATCACTGTGTAACATGTTTAGCAAATGATTTTAAAAAAAAAAGTCTCTGTGGTTCACGTTTGAAGATGATGTAATCCGAAATGGTTCTTTCATCTTCCACTGCAGTAACACCTGCTCCCCTATAGCCTAAGGGCCCAGGTATCCCCATTGGAGGGCTTTAAGGAGGTCAGATCTGAGCCAGAGAATCTCCGAGCGTCCCCAGCCTGAGCCGGAGGGACCTTATGCCAGTGTAGCTTAAGTCTCTAATCTCCAGGCAGAGGAATTCAGGTCGTCAAGGGTGGCCTCGCAGGCACCTTAGCAGGTGTGTGGCCCCAGGACCCAAGTCTCCCAGCTCCTGGACCAGGATCCTGCCCTGCCTTTCCAAAAGAGGCAAAAAGAATGCAGTGGAGTGCCAGTAACATTGTCCTCATTTTCACAGGGAAAACTGAATAATAATAATAATAATTTAAAAACCACAAGCGGGCAACACTCGACTATAAAACAAAACACCTAGCATTTTAGCACATTGCAAAACACCAAGAGTGGTCCCCCCGGAGTACTGGGAGTACTTTGAAACCCCCAGTCTCATTCATCGTTCCGAAAATATAAAATGGAGCAACTTTCTTCGCTCCCTACTGCGCCCCTCTCCCCGGTGCAGACGCGAAGGGCTGTCCCCGGCCATCCCGCGGCCGACCGCGTGCAGCTGCGACCGTTTCGCCCGCTCCCCACCGCCGCCACCTGTGCGCCGCAGCGCCATCACGGCAAGAAGAGGCTGGGCCCGCAACCGCGTGCCCGGCGGTTTCCTCTGCTGGAGGACGCCTGACTGTGCGGAGCGGATGGCCCTCGGAGAAACCGGGACACACAGGGCACAGCACGCGCGCGCGGGACGCGAGGCGCGCGGCACGGAGGGTCCCTGTTCCGGGACCCGCCCTGCCGAGCGCAACGGAGAGTCCGCAGCCATTTAGACGAGATGAATTTCGGGCTCGCTCGAGGACTTGGCGATCCGACGGAGGGTGGAGACAGGGGCGCTGGGGTGGCTCCCGCAGGCCGCCTGAGGGTCTGGTGTACCCGCCGAGTCTGCGAACCTAGTTCGCGTATGTGGGACGGAGGCCGCAGGGACACCTGCGCTCGCGTGCGTGCAGCGCCGGTGCAGCTCCGGGGGCGCACCGGGTGAGACGGGGGCGAGGGGAGAGGCGGTCGGGGCTTCCCTTGAGCTTGGGAGGCCGTCCCGAGGGGGGCCAGAGGGCATCACACGGCGCCCTTCCTAGTTGTCCCGGTCGTCGCCGGAGATCAGGAGGCCCCCAGAAGGCGAGTACCCCGGTGGTCCCGAGCGTCCGCCAGCAGCAGTCCGAGGCGGCCGGGACCGCGTGGCGTGCTCGGAGCGTGCCAGGGCGCGCGTAAGCCCAGGACCAGCGCGGACCCCGGGCAGCTGGCCCGGGGCGCGGAGGGAAGACGACCTCCCCAGGGCGAGCGCTTCTGGTTTTCCGGAGCCTCACTTCTGGGAAGGGACAGGGAGCTGTCAATCAGCGAGGGAGGGAGCGCACCGGTGCGGGGTGATGTCAGCGGATCAGCTGCTCGACAACAAAGGGGGAACCGCAGGAGAAAGTTGCACGGCGGCGGCGGCACCCCGGAGGCTCGGGGGCGAAGGGAGGGGGACGGCGGCTGCGGCAGCAGCTGAAGGCCAAGGAATGAAAGGGCTGTAGGGGGAGGCAGTGCGAGCCAGCCCCGACTGCTCCTCCTCTTCCTCCTCCTCCTCCAAACTCGCAGGGCTCAGCCCCAGCGCTCGCTCAGCCGCCGGAGCACCCGGAGGGACGGGAGGCTGCCGCGCGGCCCCGGGCTGGGAAGAGTCCCCAGCCGCCATGGACAGCGACGACGAGATGGTGGAGGAGGCAGTAGAAGGTACAGTGATTCTCTGGGACCGGGGAGGCGGCGGCCGGGGCCCGGGAGCGAGGCCGGAGCGGGCGGGCTGCGCCCGGGGCCCCAAGGCCGCCGCTGTCCCTTACGCGAGTGGCCGGCTGCCCGGCTCGGGCGGGGGCCCGACTGCCTCAGCCACGCCGCCGGGAACGAGCGCCGCGCGGCGGGGCGCAGGCCGGGATCCGGGGCTCTGCCGGGCCGGGGGCGCCTGGAATGTCCAGCCACAGCCCGCATCCGCCCTCGGAGTTGCGAACCCTGACCGGCACTGGTCACCCCGATTCGGGCATGGAGGGTGGGGGTGCTCAGAAGGGCTGCTCCCTGAGGCGGACAGGCTCCGCGGAGTGATCCTCCAGCCCCCGCCTTGGCAGGCGGCCCTTTCCTTCCGCACGCTAGCTGCGTCCCGAGACCACCGCGGCCCGCGGCTGGGTCCGTGTCCCCGCGCGGCGCACGCGGCCGGGCCAGGCACGTGGCATCCTGGGCCGCTCCTCCAAGAGGGTGAAATCATGGCAGGGCCCGGGACGACACTCCCGACCCGGGGCTCGAACGCGCGCCGTCCGGGAGGCTGGAGCCCGCCGCGCCGCCGCCCCGCCGCCCCTCCCCCTCCCGCCGCGCCGCGCAGCGAGCCGGACCCACATTGCTGGGTGACACTGAACTTTGCGAATTCCATGCTGCTGGCCGTGGGTGACATCACCGCCGCGGCGTCGCGCCCTGCGCCCCTCCTGTTCGCCCCCATCCCCCCCACCCCGCACTTCTCTGGCCCCTGGTTTGCTGAGTTTCCCCTCCTCTTTCTTGCTAGTTCCAAAAAACGATGAAGGGGACGTTATACAATCTCGCTGTTTGTGCAGCGAGAGGTTATAATTTTGTAACAGGGAATACCGGGGGGGAAATTCTCTCCTGTCTCTTTTATTCGGTTCTACCCCAGACAGCGTGTCGTGATGTGTTCGGATGCCGTGTGGTATTGCGCCAGAATATGTTAAACCGTGCGTCTAAGTAAATAATGTTTAGCTGCTGGTTGACTTTTATTTTCTAATTAGTGTTAAAAAGTTCTCACAAAAGATAACGAAAAATAAAGTGGCAATGCTGTACAAATGCATAAGGATACATAGTTATTGCTATTCGGGGAGGAATCAATTTTTATGTTTTCATTAACTGCGCTGGCAGAGCTCCTGAAGTTTCAGGATGAGATTTAAGTGGAGCGGGATTTCTGAGTTAGGTATGCATTTGGATGTAAACATTCAAACTTAACAAAAGGTGTGCCTGTTTATCTTCAGGAAAAAAAAATAAATCACAATGTTGTGAAACTCCCAGAGCTGTTTTCCTCTCTAATGAAGAAAGACAGCCTTGGGCTGCCTGGGACCCAGAGACAGTCACCCACTTTCAGTTGTGGACTTCTTGTGCCTCCATATTACTAAAGAGGAGTGCTCCTCCAAGGTTACTTTTCTGTGTAAAAGCGTAACACAAACCCCAGGTCACTGCCCAGGTTAAGTCACCTTTCCCTTTAAGGCCACTGAGAAGCAAAAAGTTAGCCACGGTCCTCGGACTCCTTTCTGGTGGGAACAAGAGCTTTGGAAACTGGTCAATGTTTTTTTGTTTTGTTTTTCATTTTTTTGTTTTGTCTTATTTTTGTGACTGTCCCCTGGGTTAGAAAGAGGAAGGTTTCTTTATCCAAGCAGGAGAGGTTCTGTTATGCAGAGTGATCATATATGTTATTGTCCTAAATCAGAAGACTCTTGGAGAGGAGACAGGGTGTCATTAAGAATTATGTGAGGACCACTGGCCTCAACCCTAAGGAATGTCCTGGGGAATCCCAGACACATGGTCACTCAGTTGTACCAACAAGTCAGAAGAGTGACACAGAATTTTTTTAAAAATAGCTGTTAACCACATCTCAGGCTCAGACTTGCACGGTGCCTGGGGCATGGCAGGAGCTGCACCCGTCAGCTTTCCTCCAGCCAGGGTTGGCCCGTTTGCGATGGTCTTCGCTTCTGTCCCACACAGGCCTGAGGGACTGGCATAAACCACTTCCCATCTTCCCAAAGAGAAGCCAGCCTGGACATCTTCTCGGTATTGAAGTGCCAACTAACCCATCTCTCTCCATAAACAGTAGTTTCATTGTCACAGCTATTATTACCATTGCTATAATTGTTTAGTTCTCATTAAGTACAGGCTCTGTGCTAAGTGTTTTGCAGACATTATCCATTCAGTCTTATGAAATGGGAACTAATATTAGCCCAGTTTTACAGAGGAGGGAACTGAGATACATGGAAGCACAAAACCAAGGACTCTCAGTGAGGGGCGTCACAGGTGTGGACTCCCAGGGTGCGCCTCTGCCATACCACGCTGTCTCCATACTCCTCTGTTTTTTAAATTTTGATGAGTCAGTGAAGTATCTAAAAGGTACTTCATATTAGAATCAACAGTTAAGTATTATCTCGGTACCATTCTTTATTGGTTAAACGTTTTGGAGGGTTGTTTCTGATCCAGTTGAGTGTCTTTCAGGAAGCATATTTTTGGAGAAAGATAACTGAACTTACAGTCTTTGCAATAGGAAAACTTTCTCTTCCTCATGAAAAACTTAGGTGGGAGGAGAAAGTTGATCTCTTCAGGACTTGAATTTCGATGTCTTGTGAGGCAAGTGTTCAGCCTAGTGCGGGAGTTGAGCCTTCCTGCATTGGAGTGAGTGCCTAGATACACGGCTCAGCTTTGGCTCTCGGTTCCAGTTTCCTTGCTAATGCAGATCCTGGAGACAGAAGTGGTGACTCAAGCAGTTGGGCTCCTGCCACCCATGCGGGAGACCTGGATTGTGTGCCTGTCTCCTGGCTTCAACTGAAGCCCAGCCTGGCTAATGCAGGCATTTGGGGAGTGAACCAGTGGATGAGGGGGCTCTCCCTCTCCCCTCCCCAACCCGCCCCTCTTCCTCAGTCTCTCTCTTTCTCTGTTGCTCTGCCTCTCAAATAAATAGTGTTAACAAATGTCTTCCATAGCCCATATATTTTGGCTCTCTGCTGGGCGGGTTGTAGCTAGGGAGAAGTTCTAGACTTGGTGTGGATGACTCCCCTGGGGCAGGTGGGCGATGGAGGGTGTGTCCCAAGGGAAAACTCTGTGTACCTGCTTCTGCTGTGCTCCCTGGCTCCCCTGGGAAGGCAGCAAGCCCTGGGCCCCAAAGAGCCTGAGAACTCCACCTGACCAGCTGCTTAAAAAACACTTCGAGGCTCCTTGGCTCCGCAGAGAGTGATGTTTAGTTTTCCACTGTTTTCTTTGGGGCCTTTGGAAACAAATATTTGTCACTGTGTTTATTTCTTTGTCACCCCATAGAAAGATAGAGGAATGCAGTGTCGTCCCTAATATCATTTTAAAGAATTGTGTCATGTCTCTATAGATGCATTGACATGGTTGAGAGAGAGGAAGGGATAGTGACTTCCAGCTTAGGGAAGGAGGTAAGGGAAGGCTCTCAGGAGAGGAGGCATAGGGTTGAGTGGAGAGGGAACCTTAGTGAAGACACAGAGGCAGGGAGTTATGTAGCTAATGCCCAAAGCAAAAGCATCCAGTTCTGCTGTGGAGTGGGAACTGGGAGGAGAAAAGTGCAGGGTAAGGCAAGGAAAGGAGGCCGGGGGGTGGGCTGAGAGCAGGGGCTGTGCAGGAAGCCACAGAAGCTGCCGGAAGTGGTGGGGCTCTCGAGAGCTGGGAGTGACAGCATTGGAGCTCTCTGCTCCAGGCAGATGGCCAGGAGGGGTGAGCAGGGCAGGTGGAGAGGCTGAAGTAGCAGGTGAGGGTGTCCCCTCGGGGGCTCTTGCAAGAGTCTAGGTGTGCAGTTGTGAGTGTCTGGAAAAACAGAAAGGCCTAGAAACCTGTCAGAGATGCTGAGGGAACTATCAGAATCGCTGAACAAGGAGCTGGAGTGTAAACAAGTAGCTCGGCATTGCACTGCCCCAGCATCGGCAAAATATTAAGAATATTTTCTTACCAAGCGCTCCAAAAATCATGTTCTAACAAGCCTGCTCATGCTCTGTACCTGTGGAAAATGCATGCCAAGTATACCGAGCTTGTCCATGTGGACTACGTGTTAAAGCTATGCCCCTCACCATGAATGGTGGAGCATTTTCAAAAGAATTCTCCTAAGCTTACAGAATTATATTTTTAACATTGTACAGTTATATCTTTAACAGCCCTTGAAAATGCATGAGCACAAGTGCATGTCCTTTGCGTTACAGAATAAGCTTGCCTTTTGTGATTCTTTTTTTTTTTTTTTCAAAGCAGTGTTCTAGTCCACAAAACCAACAGTGTGTGAGACAGTCTCATATTCTGCGGAACACACACACACACACACACACACACACATGCAGAAGTGTGCACGGCGTGCATGCTCAGATCTGTGCGTAAGCCCGAGGCGATCAGCAGCTGTGTCTGATGTGGAGGGAGTTTCTTTTACTGAGAATCCATTCCCTGCACAGAATACAGGCCTGGCTTTTGTCCGGGGAAGGAAAAATGCTTGCTTAGAAGTAAGTGACAGGGAAAATTTTAACTTTCTATCTGTTCTATAGAACAAAGCAAAAAAAAAAAAAAAAATAAAGTAGCGTTAGGAACTGTTACTTTTCTCCTCCCTGTCTTTAACTTCTATAAACATTTAAGATACACTGTACAGTAGCTGGGACAGCATTATAAACACAGGGCAGTCATTCAAGTTAATTTTCCCTGTTGTTTGGGCCTGGTGCTGGCCCTCTGTTTAGCAGGAACTGGCCCGGAAGGCTGTTGGCTGACTTGGCGCATTTTCTGAATTGATCTCAACCAGCGCTGGGAGGACCAGTGTTTGTCTTTGAGTCAGGGAACACTTGGGAGGGACAGGAATTTGCAACCAGGATATGCTGTGGAAATCCTGCTAGTCCTGTCACAATGATCTTAGTCCTAAAGCCATCTGCTTTGCTACCAGAGGCCTGGGGAGTCCCAGCTTTTTAAGAGGTACTTTCTTCCATCAGGACATCAGCAAGGAAAAAAGGGTGTTCAGCTACTTTGCCCTTGTCTGGAGAGAATGGGAATTGAAGGATTTGGGGGAGGGGTTTGCAGTTTTCATCAGCACGCTCAGGAGTGGTTACTGTGTCTCTTGGACAAGGCAGGTAGTCTCGGCATCCTCATCTATAAGGTGGAAATTTGTGAGACTGTTGTGAGGTCTGAATTTGAGAACAGGCAAGCATATAAGCCACTGCCAAAATGCCTGACAGGTGCACAAGAGTTCCTTCTCCGTCTCCCAGTATTCCTCCCCATGACACTGACTATACAGAGGAGAGATGAGCTCATAACTCCAAATATAAAAAAAAAATTAATGAGATAAAAATATTAAGTACCTGATTTGATCAGTTCATACTGTGTACATGTTTTGAAATGTTGCACTTCATCCCATAAACATGTACAAGTATTGTAGGCATTTGGGAAGTGAATCATTAGAAAAGATCTCTCTTCCCCTCTGCCCCATCTCAAATATGAATAAATAAGTAAATGATTTTAAAAATTAAATCAACTATTCCTGATGTGACAAAATATTACATGATCTTATTGTCCCTACGGCAGTTGAAAAAGAGTTTTATCAGATTCACTTGTAGCACTGATGTTGGAAGGAGAGGTGAGGGTACAGTAACCCGGTATCTCTCTCTCTGTTTTTGTTGTTGTTGTTGTTTTTTGTTTTTTGTTTTGTTGTTGTTTTTTTGTTTTTGTTTTTGTTTTTGTTTTTGACAGGCAGAGAGGGCAGTAAGAGAGAGAGACAGAGAGAAAGGGCTTCCCTTTTCCATTGGTTCACCCCCCCAATGGCCGCTCCAGTGATGTGCTGCGGCCGGCACACCACTCTGATCCGCAGCCAGGAGCCAGGTGCTTCTCCTGGTCTCCCATGCGGGTGCAGGGCCCAATCACTTGGGCCATCCTCCACTGCGCTCCTGGGCCACAGCAGAGAGCTGGCCTGGAAGAGGAGCAACTGGGACAGAACCTGGTGTGCCGGCACCACAGGCGAAGGATTAGCCTAGTGAGCCGCGGCGCTGGCCTCTCTCTTTGGTTTTGTCTAGTCCCTTTGTATGTACTGTTTGGCTTGTGACCACTGTTTTAAATATAAAGTTCTACAGCTGGGAAAACTGCTTTGGGCTAGTCAGTATTCAAGGTGGAAGTCTTGAGTGATCACAGTCTTTAATTTCGGTTCCTTTGATCGACCACATCCCTCTCCCTTCCTCTCCCTCTCCCACTCTCTCTCCTTCCCCCTCTCCTCCATTTCTCCCTGTCCCACAAGAGCTTAAGGTTCCCTTCATTATCCTGTTGGCAGAGCTATTGAAACAAATATCCTTCTTGTAGTGCAGTTGATATTTTTGTTGTCATCTCGGTTGGGATCAGCACTGTCCTCTAAGTGCTTTTAGTGCATTAGGCGACACTGTCGGTTTTCTCCAGTGTCTAAGTCCCGTTGCTTTGAGTGTGCTTGCAGTGTTTTATTCAGAAATAGGACAGCATGGCTAGAAGGTGGCAATGAAGGTATATTAGAATTTTAGAACTTTTCCTTGTACATTTATGTCCATGTTTGTGTTTATCATAATAATTTCTCTTGATCTAAAGAATCACAAAGTTGATTAAACAGTAACTTTTAAAAAATTGATTCTTTTTTTAAAAGATTGATTTATTTACTTGAAAGGCAGAGTTACAGAGAGGCAGAGGCAGAGAGAAAGAGAGAGAAATGTCGTCTTCCATCCACTGGTTCACTCTTCCAGTGGCAGCAATGACCAGAGCTGAGCTGATCCAAAGCCAGGAGCCAAGAGCTTCTTCCAGGTCTCCCATGCGGGTGCAGGGGCCCAAGGACTTGGGTCATCTTCCACTGCTTTCCCAGGCCATAGGAGAGCTAGGTCAGAATTGGAGCAGCCGTGCCCATATGGAATGCTGGCACTGCAGGCTGCAGCTTTACCCGCTATGCCACAGCACCAGCCCCAGTGTGTTATTCTTTATAAGAGTGTTTACTTATCATCTTTCCAGGGTATAATATCCTTTTATCATACTACAAAAAAAATCATTTTAGGAAACTGTTGCATTCATTTGGTTTGTTTTCTTTTATGTCTGTGAACCATCTGGAAGCCACATTAAAGTGTTTAATGTCCCTGCATTGTACACAGTATTTAATGTTTGCATACCTTTTTCGTCCATGACCCAGGTTGTTAATTCAGCAAAATGTCAGTAGAGCAACCAACCGCCTTTTACCCACCTCTGCAAAACTAACTCTCCAGAATAATTGGCCAACACCAGTGAGGTGACTCCTGGGTTTTGTGAAATACGCAGATAGCAATAAAGAATCTAAGCAGTGACTGTTTATATTAGGAATATTAGAAAATAGTGGCCTATGATCTGAAAGAACCAGAGGTTTAAAGACCAGTGTAGTGGCTGCTGCTACTCGGTGGGAGGCGGTGTATGGTGAGAGTATAGTTACTAGGCATTCAAGGCTGATCAATTTTGTAAGGCAAAGCCATAAGTTCAAGGCCTAACTTAAGTGTATGTGCTTGCAAGAGGAGGTGTATAAATATTAGGTCCATTTTTGAGCTCTGGCCCTCATTGGTGGAGCGTCACATGTCACCCTAGCATTTCCAGGCTGGTGAACAGTTCTCCACTTCATGCCATAGAACGATACATAAAATCAGTTTGCCTAGGGTTCCAGAATTGGATCATTTATTTCAAAGTCAGTGTATCTGGTAGTAGACCATCACAGCATGATCTCAACCACATTTCAGTTGAGCACAAGAGATAGGCAACGTGAATTTCAAATATGCAAAGTATTGGATAGGAAAGTGCTTGGAAAATTGTAACATGCCCTGTGGATGTTATTACCAATCACAATGCCCAGTTCCATGTCAAATGCACACTTAAAGTTCAAGTTGGGCCGGCGCCGCGGCCCAATAGGCTAATCCTCCACCTAGCGGCGCCGGCACACCGGGTTCTAGTCCCGGTCGGGGCGCCGGATTCTGTCCCGGTTGCCCCTCTTCCAGGCCAGCTCTGCTGTGGCCCAGGAGTGCAGTGGAGGATGGCCCAAGTGCTAGGGCCCTGCACCCCATGGGAGACCAGGAGAAGCACCTGGCTCCTGCCTTCGGATCAGTGCGATGCACAGGCCTCAGCGCACCGGCTGCGGCGGCCATTGGAGGGTGAACCAACGGCAAAAGGAAGACCTCTCTCTCTCTCTCTCTCTCTCTCACTGTCCACTCTGCCTGTCAAAAAATAAATTAATTAATTAAATAAATAAAGTTCAAGTTGTTGGTCCCTCTGATGCGGACCTGTCCATTCATAAAGTGCCCGAAACAATCAAGCCCATGTTGCAGACGCAGGTGAACTGAGAAACCTTTAGGTGGGCACTGCACCCTCACACCAGGGAAGGGACCCGAGGGTGCCTAGGACTGTGGGGGCGGGGCTGCCACCGGCAGGGGAGGCTGGTGATGTTAAGGTTTGCCTTGTGGTTCTCTTTCTGCCAGGGCACCTGGATGATGATGGATTACCGCACGGGTTCTGCACCGTCACCTACTCCTCCACAGACAGATTTGAGGGGAACTTTGTCCACGGAGAAAAGAACGGCCGAGGGAAGTTCTTCTTCTTTGATGGCAGGTAGCACTCTCTGTTTTGCATTGCTTTGCCTTGCTTGGGGGTGGGAGGGGTACCAAAATTGTTTCACTGTTAGGGATGATGCTTGCTCGGATGTAAGAATTCAAGTAAAAGTGTTCACACGACGCATAGGAAAGGTGAAAGTCACCCCAACGTGTCGGTGCTGCAGTGGCGGCTGTGGGGACGCAGCCTGAGGCTTCTCTCTGGTCTGGAGGGGTGTGTTTATCAAAGGGGTCTTCTGCCATGCCAGATCCAGGGACCCCCATCCCACATCAGCTGATTGCACGGCTGCCCCGTACTTGGAGGGACTGACCGCTCATTCAAGTGAGGTGTCTCGATGCAGTCACACAACAGGGGTCGTTTTGTCAGCAGGCAGCTGGCACAGTTTTAACCATGATGGGCCCATGCCAAGCATACTGCATACTGCGCTGCACCCAGGCCGTGCGCCCCACCCCCACCCCCCACCCCGGTCACTATCTAGTCTCTTGGCGGCCTGAAGGAAGGTGTCTCCGCCCACACCTCAGCGTGTTCCCTCTCCTTAGGTGATTGCTGAAGAAAAGACTTAGCCAAGCTCCTCAAAGCCCACTCAGTGCAGTCCCAGTGGCAGAACACAGATAGGTAGACGTTGGAGGGCACAGCAGCAAACTCAGGCCTTTGTGTTTGTCGACAGGGTAATCGGGTTTGGTGTGTGGCACTCCCAGCTGATGCCGGGACAGGCGTTTCCCGTGGCTCACCTCTTGTTCAGATCTTTTGTCACAGCAGATTTGCTTTCACTGTGCCTTCACTCGCTGTATGGGGACACCATGTGTGGCAGAGGCCCTTTGCCCTCTTGTGTTGGGGGCAGGGGGCAATGACTGGAGGCGATGGCCTTGCGCTGGTCCAGCTGTTTGGCAATGACCTTTAAAGCCTGGGAGCTTCAGAAGCATAGAGTGTCCATGTGAATTCCTCGAGCCTTTGGAGGGGCTCAGAGGCCTGGAAGGGCCCGCTGTGCTCAGGCCAGTTGGTTGGGTAATCCAGGAACAGACTGAGCCAGAGAGGTTACAGGATCCTGTTTGACACTGCCCCACTTACTACTCCTACCATTGACAAGTGGCCAAAGCTTCCCAAACCTGAGAATTTCTGTGGGAAAGGAAACATCTACGCTGACACTGAAGGTTGCCCTTAGCACTGGCGTGTGCACTGTTTTTAAAGATGCTAGCTGGTGCAGCGGGTTAAGCTGCCACCTGCAACACCAGCATCCCATAGGGGTGCTGGTTCGAGTTCCAGCTGCTCCACTGCTGATTCGCCTTCCTGCTGATGTGCCTTGGAAAGCAATGGAAGATAGCCCAAGTACTTGGGCCCCCGCACCCACATAGAGATCCGGATGGAGTTCTGGGCTCCTGGCTGCAGCCTGGCCCAGCCCGGCCCAGCCCAGGCTATTGTGGCCAATTGAAGAGTGAACCAAAAGATGGAAAGGTCTCTCTCTCTCTAACTCTTTCAAATAAATAATAAATCTTAAAAAAAAAAAAAGTAGAAGAAGAAGAATGGTATTGTTCCTCAGGTTTTCAATTGATATAAAGAAAGAAGGGCAAAAATAAAAGCCCATTATAGAAGCTTTGTAAAATTGCATTTTAATGACTGGTTCCAACCTTCTCTATCCCATTGATCCCCGACTTTTCATCTCATCTTTTTAAAAGTATTTTTCATTTTTATTTGAAAAGCAGAGAGATAAAGACAGAAACAGATTGCTTCAGTCTGCTGGTTCACTCCCCAAATGCCCACAACAGCCAGGGCTGGCCAGGCAGAAGCCAGGATCCCAGAACTCCCTCCAGGTCCCCCATGGGGGTGGCAGGGACCCAAGTACTTGAGCGGCCTCCCGGGGTACACATTAGCAGGAAGCTGGATTGGAAGCGGAGGTGAGTCTTGAACCCAGGCACTCTGATATGGGCTGTGAGCATCCCAAGCAGCATCTTAACTGCTGCACCAAACACCTGCCCCTTCCCTTTTTTAATCAGAGCTTTGTTAATAAACGATGAGTTTTAGCTTGTCAGCATTTTTCTTCCTTTCTTTTGCCCTGCTGTGAATACCCGAAGAGGCTCCTTTCAAGATGCTGATGGCAGCACTTTCTTCTCCCATGATCCCTTTAGCTTGCTCAGACGGAAACTTTTTCCTGCCCCGTTTCCATGTCAGTTTGTTTATAGCTCTTTTTCTTGGAAGTGTTGTGTTTCTTTTACCCCTTCTGGCAATGATTCTTTCATTCATTCAATAGTATATACTCACACAAATATTTTAGTTCCCTCTGTACCCAAGGAGAGAGGCCTTCTTGATGGCAGGATCTGTGGCTGTGACCTTGTGTATGCCTCAGAGCACTTTCCTTTAACTTGACACTAAAGTAAAAAGTCTTTGCTGGACAGTACAGGGAAGAATTTACCCAACACACTGTCCCTCTCACACACACATACTCACGATTTAAATCTGATAGTCGGATGAAGATGGCCAATAATGGAGGGGCTCTTGGGGAGACATTGTTGCAGATTTGTGTGGTAGTGGCTACCTGCTTGCCTCACAGACCTGATGATACGCTAGACTGAGTTTCTGAACCAGGGTGCCGGGAATGAGATCCATGTTCGCCCCCAGGGGCTGATTGCACAGCCCAGTGGGTAGCCAAGTGGGGCCTGGGGAATTCTGAGCCCCGCCCTTCTCCTGTCAAGTGGGTCACTTCTGGCCCCAGGCAGCTTCCTCCACTTCCTCCAGAGTATTGTGCAAGGGCACTGGGTCAGGTGGAAGCAGTCGCTCAATAACTGTCTATGGCCTGGAAACAGATTCCTTGACTTTTTTCTTTTTGAGACACCAATCTACTCAACCCACTTGTAGAGACGTAGCTCAGACAGTAGAACGGAAGTAGGATAGCGTTAGTGAGCACCTCGGGGGCCTCTCCTGGTCCATCTTTAGAGGCACAGAGGGAAGAAGTTCCGTGCCCTTCCTTTATTGCCTGCGATGAAGCACCATGGTGACAGGATCTCAGAAGGTCTCCATCATCTCTCTTAAGTCCGAGACTGATCGTGTGCTCCTACATCTGGTGAAGGGAAGACATCTGGGATTTGGTCCCGTGACAGCACGAAGGCTGTGAGGTTTACCAGGTCTTCCTGGGGGTGGGACTGGAGGAGTGGATATTCCTAATGGAGCCAGTCCTTGGGACATTTGCATTTGTCTATTCGTTTTTCCTCTCTGTGAGCTCTCCTGATTTCTGGAGTCCGATGCGTTGGGTAAAATTAAGCGAAATCTAACGTCCTTACTTCAAGCCTTTGGATGAAATCAAGGTTGAAAGACAAAGGTGAGGAAATAAACACATTTCTTTGTGAAGAAAAAGCTGTTTTAAGCTGTAGTGCTGGTGTATGTCCCCTGAGAGGCTTTGCTGTAGGAACTCCTGTTTAGAAAGAGAGAAGAAAAGCATAAAGTGTAGTAACAGAAGATTTGGCCCAGTACATTCTAATCTAATACCAGAGCAGATTTATGAGGAAGGCTCCAACAAATGTAAATTGATGTCAAGAAAATTCTAGAGTCAGTCTTTCCCTTAACATAAACTATGATACACCTGAATAAGAATTTTAAATATTCAGATTACTGGGAGTAATAGCCAAATTAAAATTTTTAATCAAGTTCCTAGATAGAAGCAGAGTATTTTATATTATTGCAAATATAGCAAATGCTTGGTAGAATAGAAAATTTTAAAAAGTACAGAGGCTGGCAATGTGACATAGTGGGTAAAGCCACCATCTGCAGTGCCGGCATCCCATATGGGCCCCAGTTCGAGTCTTGGCTGCTCCACTTCCAATCCATCTCTCTGGTATGGCCTGGGAAAGCAGTGGAAGATGGCCCAAGTCCTTGGGCCCCTGCAGCTGCATGGGAGACCCAGAAGAAGCTCCAGCTCCTGGCTTCGGATCGGCACAGCTCTGGCCATTGCGGCCATCTGGGGAGTGAACCATCGGATGGAAGACCTCTCTCTCTCTCTCTCTGCCTCTGTCTCTCTGCCTCTGCCTCTCTGTAACTCTGCATTTCAAATAAATAAATAAGTCTTTTTTTTTTAAATACAAAAATGTAAAAAGAGAAAGTTATTTTTTTTGCAACTCGCACCCTATGCTACAGAAGTCAGCATTGTTGGCAGCCAATATGAATATCTCAATTAAATATATTCAAGATAAAAACTGAAATAGCTATCTATTTCTAAACCAGCTTCAGTAGCCAAAATATGCACTGCTTACCTGTCTCAGCCTTAGAGTATTGCTCGTTGTGAAACAGTCATCAGGATCTAGTCTTTCCTTTATTATATGGCAGAGTCGAAAGCAGATCAGGCAACTGATTACAACCGGCTTATAGGGCAGAAGCCTGAGTCAGAACACTCATCTCTTACTGCATGAAACCGTTCATCCTACAAATAATGGGAAAACTAACCTGTTCTTTAAAATTAGCTTTTCAAGTAGATCTTGTTTTCCTCCCCCTCTTTTTTGAAAGTTTATTCACTGATTTGAGATGCAGAGAGACAGAGAGAGCTCCTATTTGCTGGTTCACTCCCCCCAGATGGCCCCACCAGTAGGGGCAGAAGCTGGAAGCCAGGAACTCAATCCAGGTGTCCTGTGTGGTTAGCAGAGATCCAGCTACTTGAGCCAACACTGCCGCTTTAGGAGGAAGCTGGCATCAGAGCCGGAGCCAGGGATGGAACCCAGGCACTCTGAGATGGGAAACGGGTATCGTAACTGCCAAACCAAATGCCTGTCCGCTCCTCCACTTTTTAAAACAACATTTAAATTTTTGATGTTTATTTTTATTTGAGAGAGAAAAAGAGACAGATATCTTCCATCCATGAGTTCACTCCTCAGATACCTGTAACAGCTAGGGCTGGGTCAGGCTGAAACCAGGAGCCAGGATCAGGTCTCTCGGTGGGTGGCAGGGACCCACGTACTGCTGCCTCCAAGAGTGCACATTAGCGTGAAGTGGAGGCAGCACTCAGACCCAGGCTTTCCGAT